ATATAATTTTATAAATATCTTTTGTTTGAGTAAGTCACGTTTAAGGTTTTAGGTGATTAAGAGAAATCAAATTGAGAATATAGTTCGCTGAAGTCTAATTGAAGAATGATACACAAGAGAAGATTGCACAAATAACTAAATTGCAAGTGTTTATTCATCTTTTACCTCGTTATACAATTATTAATGCGTAGATTTACGCATGACTGAATAAAAAGAACTATACATTCCTACATATATACATACATACATGCATACATATCTATACACATATCTTTTTAGATTTTTGAAAAATGTTATTTTCTTTGTGAAAGTTATATTTAAAAATAAGTAATATTGAAGAATTATATTCACACAAGTAAAAAGCTATTCTGAAAATTTTAAAAGATAATTTCGTGTAGAAAGTCTTTATTTTTTGAATGAACTGTTGATCACCAAAATCGGATGGAAATTGCGACTATTATTTTGTGTCGTTCAAGTTTTCACGTTCTTGTTCAAACCGGAATGGATGAACTAATGATTATTATTATTGTTATTATTATTATTATTATTATTATTATTATTATTATTATTATTATTATTATTATTATTATTATTATTATTATTATTATTATTATCATTATCACTGTCGTTATTATTATTGTAATTGTAAAATTGTATCCAGATACGTACGAATGCACGCGCACATACTACACATATATACATACACATATACACAAAATAACATAAATTACCTAACTTTGACCTGCTATCTTGAGTCCCACATTACTCCTACTCTCATGACGGGACTTACTATTGATCAAAATGCTTCTCCTACCTATGCTTTACATTCTCGCACCTTCGAGTTCGAAAAAAGAATCCTAGAAGACGACTTGAAAATATTATTATTTTCGACACTTAAAAATCACTTTTCAACTCTAAAAAATTTCTATTGTCGCATTCAGTGAAATAATAATGAAATAAAATATTGAGTAGAAAAAGTTCGAGAAGTTTTTCGACAATAGGAGATTCTTTATATTTTCCTACTTAATCTCCTTTCCCGTGATGAATACGGAATATTTTTTATTTAGAAATTACGAACCTTTCCGAAGATGAAATAAAATGCCATACGAACACCATTGTGGGCACTTCACGCAGCAGCTATTTAAACGTTCGATAAGAAACTATCTAGCAATCGAATTCAGACGAGAAGGCTACAGCTGATTTAAGCAAGGAAAACTCAAAATGAACATCAAGCAAAGGAGATCATCGTCTGAAAATATGACTGAAATCCAACAGCCGAACGACTAGCCATTAGTCAATAGTGTCATTTTATTTAATTCTGTAAGTCGAAACGAATTAAACGCATAAAACAAATAACATATTTATATTACAATATTAGTAAAAAAATTATAATTTTTATACTGCAAAATGATTACGATAGAGAAATTAATGCGAAAATTAACCTACGATTTAAAAATAAACCCTATCTCGCAACGTATAGAAACCCCTAAAGAGAAACGATATTATTCAGTAAAAGAAGTAGCCGAATGTATTATAGTATTCAATGGTTCAAATGTACACGCTAAATCATTTATTCTTGCATGTGAAAACGCTCGTGATCTCATAGATCCAATGGATATTCCGTACTTGAGTCACATTATTCGTTCAAAGATCCGTGTTGAAGCAAATATAAATTTATATTACATAGATACAGATTTTGATAATATAATGTATGAGATAAAATGACTATATTTACCGTGAGACGTTCAGTAAAAATGGCAAACTGAATTAGCTTTTGTAAAACAAGAGTTCTATGAAACTTCGTTAGAATACGGTGAACGCATAAAGAAAATAGTAAATTACGTAAAAAAAAAAATACAAGAAAATAATAGACCAGAAATTGCAATAAGTATAATAAAAACTTTAGAAGACACTCTTCTGAATAGTTTTGTAGTTGGACTGGAAAATAAGCAATTAGAGAATAAAATAAATTATACAAATGCAAAATTTAAGAGAATCAATAGAAAATGCAGAATACATCCCCAAACTTTGATGACGATTATCAATATTATGAAAAGTCAGGACGCATTTATTACAATTATCCTTATAGAAAAAGTCAAGCTTTGGAATATTTTATGCCTGCACAAGCAACAAAAAGACCACAATACTATACTAATGTAGACACATATAATAAACGTCAACGACAATATAAAACAAATGATATTAAATATGAATACCCACAATACGATCTGTCAAATAGTTATTATGCATCCAGGAAAAAGATATAGTACTTCCAGATATATTTTGCGAATATTGTAACCATACAGATCATATTATCGAGGAATGCAAAGTATTTATAAAAATTTGCAAATTTTATAAAAGATGTAAAATGTGAGGACACAACATTAATGAATGTCGTAGAATACAAAATTCAACATTGTACACACAATCAAACAATTACCCAATCATACATTTTATCATTACGGACAAGCGATCGATGAATATAGAACTTTAACGATGACAGTCAAAAATTCTGTGAATACTACAGAAATTTCGGTTAATACGGTCGTCGATGAACGTAAAAACGACAAACTCTCGATAACACGAAAAATTTAGGAAACGCTCATAACAGTTTAGGAAAAAATGATATATCATAAAAACTTTAAAGTGGAAATTTTACATAACATAGAAAATAGAAAAATAATTATAAGAAACTAAAGAAGATAATTTTAAAAATAAAAGTATTAAAAATACAAATTTTTAAGATGCAAATTTAAAACATAATTAAGGTGAAATCTAATGGATTGATTATCGAAAAAAGTGAAACTTCATATAGTTTAGGAAATAAGATAATTACGATAAATTCCAAAAAAAAAAAAACGGAAATACTAATGATAACGATCGAAACACGATACGTATACCAAATCTTTCTCTAAATAAAGAAAAGATTTTATATTAAAGTAATAAAAAAAAGCATCAAAAGCTTTTCTCAAGAACTACAGCAAAGGTTCTTTTAAAACTAAAATAAAGAACACTCAAATTTTTTAAACTCTGAAACAAGGTACCTGAAAACTATATAAACTCTTAAATAGTTACGCAGGTACGAAGAAACCCTTCAAATAAGAAACACGAGAAATATTAAGAGTCCAGTTTTTTTTTTCGAACATAGACGAACCACTAACATTTCCGATAATCCTGCAGATAATTTAAAGTTGAACATTTTACTCAATGTGAATTTATCATAGACTAAAAAAATCTCCTAGTTGCATATAGTATTTAATTTAAAATACATAAAGGATTATATTTTTATGATATAAAAATTATTTATTATAAACGTGACAAATATAATTTGTAAGATATTAATATATGTGACGTCTCATTAAAAAAAAAAAAAAAATAATAAATTAGAAAAAGAAAATATAAATATGTATATATATTTAAGTATAAGAAAATTGTAAAAAACGTCCTCAATAAAAGTCTACATCTTTTTTTAAAGGAGTGAAATGTTATTCCTCTCTATCGTCCATATCATTTTATTATTATAATTATACTTATAATCAAAATCAAAAATTTGAATTAGATTATATAATCCGCTCAGCAAAGAAAAATAAATATAAATCTTCAATTAAAAAAACTTTAACAAAACTGCAGAAACAAATTTTATTTTCCATTTTCATCGTCGTCGTTCACAAAACTGAATCGTTGTTTTGTTGAGAAATTAGAGTACTTTTAAGATAAATTTCAATTTGTTGACCGTATCGCATAATTCCTCTGCACAATCTTTTGTAAGCAATAAATAATTATTTTTTAATTTAATTTAATTTAATTTTAATTTAATTTAATTTAATTTAATCAAAATGATTTTTTGCTAGGCATACGTAATTTTCTTTCATACATATGTATGTAGCTTTCCTATATGTCCTATTTCGCTCGCTAAAAAATAAATAATCAATAAATCAAATAATAAAAGAATTGATCTCTTTTTATGATATATCTCTCTTAATAATTATCTGAAAAAATAATATTTTATAAAATTGTTATTTATAAGTATTTAATATTAAGTAATATATAAATTAAATGAATTTTATGATCGGTTAGTAATCAGAAATCATCGAGAATGTTTTAGAAGAAATTGATACGACATAACGCGGGAAAGTAATAACTTGGAATATGGAAAGAAAAAAGAAGTCTAATTTATATACTGACCTACATAAATTCCAAAAAGTATTAACGCACTGATCTATATAATTTCTTGGAAAATTTTTGCTTTCAATGCGAAAATAAACGATAAAAAACTTGCTTCAACATGACACTGCATAAATTATACACGAATTCCGTGCTCGACAACGGGAAAGCGTTTATATAAAATATTACATATATCTATCTCTGAAAGCATAATTTTCTCATATACATATCTACACATATGCATAAGTAAATTTTTGGAAGAATCTAAGTTTTTTTTTATTTTAGTATAGATTTGTAAATAATGTATTCTCTTTTTATCTTTAAAGAAAAAAGTATTTAAAAACAGAAATTTTCTTTTGATTTGTTGTATGTTTGTCATTATTATTAAGATTTATATAGCATAATTTTATTATGCTATATAAATTTTAATTATATTTTGCTATATTTATTTTATATTAACGTTATTATATAAAACACGTAATTATACATAATAAATATGAGTAAAATTATTTTTTATTCAAGGTTACTGGATATTTATGTAATATTTAAATATATGCAGTATTATTTAAAGATTAATAAGTTATATTACAGTGCCATATATACGTGTTTAATGAATAGATATTGAAATTTGTTTGATATTTTATTACGTTCATTTAATAATTTTTCTTTTCAATGTTTACAACTCATCTTAAAAGTTACATCTCATATGTGACGTCATATCAATTTCAAATGTAGAGGGCATTCAATTCGCGGCGACGCTATAGGCACCTATCAATACGAAGGGAAGTATTACCTAAACTCTTATCATGAGTTTAAATATCAGAAATTTACCAACGACTTGCGCCATCTTATACGCGCAATCTATTTCACTATGTTCATGACAATGCCTAAGATTTTCAAATTTGAACGTTAAAACTGAACGAATCGATCGACTGTCACAGGATTTGTTTCGAATGATGTGGTTTGCAGTTTTTATTTATTTCTTACATTATCAATCGAAAATAACATAAAATTCTATTTTATTTATAGATTAAGATATAAGAGGATATAAAAGATTTTAGAATTAATTTGTAACAATAATTTAAAATTTCATAATGTCAACCCCGACAAAATTTCATAATACTGAGTTGGATATAACATTATTGAACACTCCTATGCCAAAGGCTTCATCAACAGTACAAAGAAAGTCTACGTATGCATTTTTTTTGTTGATATTTGACATAGATTTAAGATAATTTAAAAAAGTTAGATATGAAAAAGTAATTTCAATCATTGTATTTGTAGACTTGAAGACAAGTATCTTGGTAGGAATTTTAGAAATGAGAACTTTGTACCGTCTTCTTTATGTGGCAATAATATGTTATTAAAGTCAGATGATTCTTCATTAGGTATTCTTAATAATATATCAACTTGTAAGTATTACAATATGATCCTTATTGCTTTAATTAAATGTGATATTACTATTGTTATTTTTTAGTATTAGGAGAAACAAGTGTAATAAATGATAAACAAAAAAAAAAATCTGATGAATTGGATGCTGAGCAAGAACTTGCTAGGAAGTTGCTTAGAAAATGTAGCAATTTTGAAGGTTTAACATCTTCTGGTAATAAAAAGATAAATCTCTTTAAAATATATACATAGATATATAATATATAAAATATTAATATATGCATATATATTGATCTTTTATAAATGATATTATCTTCTAGGTGATAATAAAAAGGATGATGTCAATATTGAAACCTTAACAAATTATTATAATCCCTCAGATCATGTTGATGGTAATTCTTTTACATACAATAATGATAATAAGTTGAAACAACAGAACAGTACACAAACATTACATGTTGAAGGCAGATCAAACAGCGTAAGTAATGATAATGTGAAAAGTGAAAGAGTATAGAAATTTGTATGTTATTTTATTTCCAGGTTGTATTTGAACCTAAAGAAATAACAGCTCGTTCTTCAGAAATGAGTAAAAGTGCCGAGAAATGTGTATCTTCATTCTCTTCAAAGAGTGCAGGAGGAATTAGTTTTGATGCAACAACTGCTGAGCTGATGGCACAATTTAACAATGAAGAATTTCAGTCTATTTCTCAAATGACCAGTCATTTGTTAGCTGATGAATCTTCCTGGAAACAGAACTGTTCTTATGATCTTCCTTTGGCAACTAGTTCAGAAAAAGAATATTTAGATTTGTCATGTTTTTCTGGTATTATTGGAGAATTGGATTTATCAGTAGAGTAAGTTCTTTGTAATAAATCGTACAAAATTTATTATTAATCAAATTTATTGATCATCCAGATCTAACGCTGGACGTAAAGTATCTATTGGTGAATTTTTCAAAAGGAAATGTGGAAATATTGGAGACTTGTCAAATGATATTGTGGAAAGACCAACTTTAGGATTATCTATTAACAGCCCTAAAAAGAAAAACAGATTAATACCTTTAGTTGATTCAACCATTGCAGATGGTAACTTTAATATCATATAAATTATTTTTCCATTTTTTTAAAAGATTATATTTTAGGATCCTTGACATTCAGAGAAAAAGAACAGACCCATCTTACAAATTCAACAAAAGATATAGAAGAGCACAGTATTATGAGTTTAAGTAGTATTGCTCAAGCTTTACAAGATATTGATAATTGTACTCCACGAAGATTAGTAGATCAACTTATAATGGCAAAAAAGAAAAGGAAAGAGTTTCAAGTAGAAAAAAATGATGACAAAGGCAATACATACACGCTTTTACCTTCAAGCAGATGTTCTATGCCTGCAACTCCAAGTGCTCTTAACATTAAAGATAATAAATCATCTAAATTTTCGTTAGATAGTAAAACCATTAATAAAACAATAGAAAATAAACAAACTTTGCCAAGAATGTTATCATTTACATCTGATTTTGATTTACATACTAAGGATACTTTGGAAAAAATTCCTCAAAGAAAGTCATTAAAGAAAGAAAAAACTGAAAAGAGTTCAATAAGTTTCCAACAGCAGGATACTGGTATGTACTTATTTACTAATTAAGTTAAATAATTAAATTTAAATCTATCGTGATCATACTATATTTCAAATGAACAAATAGTATATATTAAAATAATATATTTTTGTATACTAATCGTATTTTAGATGAAATAAAATTACCAGATATACAGTCAATTTTTAAAGATAATAAATTACCTCTATCCGAAATGAAGTCTGATAAATCAGGAATGGAAAGGGAAAAATCTTTCAAACAAGAAAACATCTCATATACATCGAAAATGGACCATAGTGTTGCTCAAAAATCAACAACTGTTGAAGAGTTATGTTTGGAAACAACGTCTCAGTCACATGGTAAAAAAGCTTCGTAAAATACAACTATACTTTATTATAAAAAACAAATTCTGATGCCAATGTTTTTTAGATATCATTATTAGCAGAAATGGTCAAGAGATTTGTAGTTGCATTGTTGGTATATCAAGAGAAGCAGATATTGCATTAACAAATACGGGTGATAGATGGATAATCTGCTCATTAGGTACATACCAATTACAAGGAAATAACCAAAATATAATACTTCATTTGCCTAAAGATACAATTCTTATAAAACCAAATTCAACTCGATCTGTCAAGGTATACATAAATAAACATAAATCATTGTACTAGTATAATACTATATTTATTAAAAGATGTATATATTTAGATTGGTGTAAAAATAACAAAGAAAACTAATCCTGCAATAGTAATATTAAATATAATAACGACTGATATGGTAACAAGAAAAGAATCAATAATTAAACACATGATCTATATTGAATCAGAAGAACTTCAAGTTAATGTATTAACACCTTTTAAAAAACCAGAACTTAATTTTGGTAGCATTATTGAAAATACTATGGAAACTTTATCTATTACATTACAAAATAAAAATAATGTGATTCTCCCTATAATACTATCTGTTGTACATGTAAGATTCTTTTTTATCATTTGAACTAACTTAATCATAAAGTATATTTAGGAGCTTAATTAAAATGTATTTAACAACCATAGGATGGTCCAAAATTTTTTAGCATAAATAATTTACAAGATGGTTTTACACATGAACTTAAGCCGCGAGAACAATTTACCGCTGTAGTGCAATGTGAAGGGACCTCATCATTATTAGCTTCAGGTAATAATACAAGATATGTTGATTATTCTTTGTCATTTCTTTTTAAATAATTATTTTCTATTTAGCAGAATTATTAAAAAATCAATTAATCAGCATAGAAGCTAAACTATTAATACAAGTAGATAACAAGAAAGATGATGCTGTAATGATAAAAGAAATACCATTGTATGTAAAAATAGGCTCAAGTAAAATACAAGTTGTTGATACAGAATTACCTATACAGATTCCCAGGAAACAAACCAAATCTCTAACTATCATTAATACAGGAGAATTGCCTCTTCTAATAGCAGCATTCATAGTGCAAGATGAGAAGTCTTCAAATCGTATTGAAGATTTTTCTGTTAAACCTGAAACTTTAACGTTACAGCGTAATGCAACAGATAGATTTTTAATAACATTTAAACCATATTACTGTGATACTCATGATAAGTAAGTAAAATTTTAAATTAATCTTTTAAAATTAATCTTTTTATAAGTTTACATTTTTCTTATTGTATAAATAATAATGGGACTATTATAGATATGTTAAAATTAAACTATCTATTGGTAATAATACTTATTACTACTCTGTAATTGGACAACAAAATGTGGAATCAGAAAATGAAAGTTATTTACGATGCGAAACACCGCAACAAACTTCTGATGCTATTTCTCCGAGTTCACCGCATAGCGTGTTATCCAGCAGGTAAATTCTATAATTATACTACTTATAGTAGCAGTAAAGAAAATTTTAATTATTGTGTTAGATCTGGAAGAAATTCTCCAATCAGTTCAATATCTGGCTCCACTGTTGCTGGGGATAAAATTCCTATTAAATCAACACATGCTGCTTTAGTATGGGGTTCTGTAAAGCCAAGTAAAAGTGATACTAAAGAATTCACCATTCGTAATATAAGTGATAACAGAATAAAACTTCAAGTTCAGATATGCGGTAAAAATAATAGTTTTCTAGTAAGTATAAATAGAATTATAGTACTGTTCTAATGATTAGTAGTTTATGTTTATACAATAAAAAATAATATTTTAGTTTCTTAAAGATCATCAAACAACAAGTCCAAATATTGTGTTAGTGTTGCATCGTATGGAAAGTAGAACACTTTCTGTTGTATTCTGTCCACATCATGTTGGTGCAGCTATTGGAAAAATTGTTTTTAAACATTATGAAATTAAAAAAGAAGAAAACGAATCACGTTCCTCAAAAGCAGTAAATATTTTCCTCATGTAGAAATCCTTTAATATATAATTAATTATTAGTTGATATATTATAGCACATTTATCTTAATATGATATTTCTAGATATTGTTGTATGGTTATGGTGGTTTTGGCAGAGTCATTATTTCTGAAATATTTAAGGATATTAATGGTAAAATGTGGTTGCCTCTTGGTAAATTAAATTCTGGAGAAATTTTAAAAGCTAAAATCAAGTTAGAAAATATTGGTGATCTTTATTCATACGCTAAAGTCAAGTTAATACCAAAAGGTTTCTTTTTATTTGACTTCGTTATTTGATTCTTTACTTTATTTTTTATAAGTTATTGAAATAATAGTTTTTTTCAGCTATTTATCCTTCCATGGTTTCTAGTTGGCAAGTAAATCCAACAGAACTATTATTAGAACCAAAAGAAACTCAGTGGATTACATTAGAGTTTCAACCAAGAAAAGAAGATTTAATATTATTGCGACAACGTTCTGATGTATGTCACGTAGGGACTATAAATATTATTTATGGTGATGAGCCGACACGTTGGCGAATACGTCGATTATATAATAAAATAAAGAATGCAGGTGATTTAAATGGAGGTGAAAGTGAACCATTTAGAAATATAGTTTATCCACTCTGCAAAGTTTTTCCTGGAGAACAATTAATGCCAGATTTAAATTTAATTAATGATACAATAGTAAGTTTAATTATAATATATTCAATATTTTGTCTGCAATAAATTTTTTTCAGTTTAGATATTAATATTTCAAGTTATGTATAGCAAAATCTTAGTGATTTATGTCATGGAGTGAGCCAACATGAAATAATATTAACTGTGGAGACCAATGCAGATGAGACATTATCTATGATTCATGATAGTGCAGATGAATCACAGATGTTTTATTCTCTTTATAGTGACAACAGTCATGTGGATGTGGAATCAAGTGGAAAAAGTTTTTTACCTTCAGAGTAAATATGTTTGTTAATATCTATTAAAAATTTCAAAAAAAGGAATTTTTATTACTTAAATGTTAATAGCAAATATACGAAACTTTCATTACTAAATTAATTATAATTCTTATTTCTATATTTTTCAGGACAATAACAGGAGGCTGCGTAAATAATGTACGTCATGAACAGTACGATGATTATTTTACCGTATCTCCGAATGTTGTGAACTTAATTCCTTCAATAAAAAATGAAGCAATTGTGACTATTTTAAGTTCAAGTAGAGTAGCACAACCATATGAAACTGTTTTGTCGAACACAGATGTACTTAGTATAGTACCAACTGAGGGTATGATACCAGCTGGTAAAGGATTTCCTTTAAAAATCAAATGCAAACAGAAAGTTCAACGTAATTTAGAAGCTACACTTAAAATATACACTGAAAATCACAGACAAGATGTAAAGATAAAAATAGCTGTCGTACGGCAATAATTTGTGTCTTATAGTAATAACTTAACATTTAATGTACAGATTTTAATACAAGTATTTTTATATTTTATAAAACCGATATTTTAATGTTAATAAAGATTTTTTTTATAAATTTTACAAAAATCTTGAGATTAAATTAAAATTTTTTTTGTATTCAACTTATTGGTAATTTTAAATTCTGCTTTATACATCTTGTTCAAAGCTTGAATTATTTTAACCATATTTTCTGCATCATTGATGCCAGAATGTAGTCTACCAGTCATCGAAAGATTCAAATGAGAAAGCATATCTATTAAATTACGAGGGAAATATTTACATGATATGCAGAATATTTCTTTCAAGTTTATCCATTGATGGAATTCTTTTGGTAATGGTAAATTGTCTATAGCACATTGATTAGGTAACATTGTTTTTAAATCCCAATTGCCACATGTTACAAAAGCACTTTTATCAATTGGATCAAAGTAATTATTGTCCTTTAACCAGGTACAGAACTGAGAGAATACAACTGGAAAGTGAGGTTCATTGTCGACCGTTTCCTGCATTATTCCAGTTAATTCTGTGCAGAAAGATGTGAGGTTAGGATGTAACCTGGGCTTGATGTACCGATGAAAAATATTTTCGATTTCAAAGTCGTGCGTGTTTAATACTATGCAAGGAAATTCAATGATCTCTTGAGGCACTATTAAGGAGTTTTTTTCACAAGTACTTTCAAAATCAAGTACAAACAAATAATTAAATTTGTGCGTAAAATTGATTACTGTCTTTGAAATTACACCAGAACGTTGTAAAAAGATTCGATGAGCCATCCCTGACTCTTATGAAAAAGTTTTACTTAGCACATAAAATGTATGTATTCGTGCGTAGTATAAACTAATTTTAAAGGTTATATTGTCGAAGATTAATTCGTAAAGTAGAATTATTCTCTTTCTTCTATCAATATAATATACATAAATATATATATATATATATATATTGTATATATATTTTATATATATACAATCAAAACAGATGTTTATAATTTAATTAAAATAACCATGTAAATTTTAGGGGAAAAAAAAATTCTACTAAAAAGTCTGTGAAACTTCGAACAGTGCGAAATTCAAATCTGGGAGAAACGAAGATCGATAATTAGGATCAGAATTCAATAACTTGTCCCAATTTTTTTAACCGATTAAGCAACATATCGCCACGTTTTATCGTATTTTGATAAACCAATCCTCGATTGCAGCTAGCATCAGGCGGTTGTCCTCTGTCACAACCGGATGCGCTAACGGTAACTACAGTACCAGATACTTTATCAATTTTACAATGTAATCTACCATTCGCAATGAATCGTGCCATTTCTTGTTCTATATAATCCTCAGTAACGCCGAATTCGATAGCCATACGATTTAAACTGAGCGTACGATATGCCTGTAAAAGTTGCGAATATGCCTTTATGCGCATCTCTCGAACGTAATACTGATAGTGTGGACGAAGAAGAGGATCAAATTTCATTTCCATTTCTATCCATGCGAGATGTTGAAAGAAATCAGCATAATGACAATCATAGAGACTGTTTAAATAGTCCATGTAAGCTGAACATTCGATCATTAAAGATTGCTGTAGGATACCATTATTATTGAATCGTTTATCAAGGTCTGATCTTGATAAAGAGATCATACCGGCTAAGACAGTGTACTGTACAATATCCTTGAACGGTAATAATTCGTATGATTCGAAGGTAGGAATGCAATCTAATAAAAGGGAAACGGCACGAGTGAAATTTCTTACGGCCAAACAATAGAGCGCTTCGTATGCCTTCAATTTATTTCGACAACACCAATTGCTACCCATATTGCAGGATACTAAAAAGAAATCATTGAATATTAAGTTCTTTTGTTCTTAAATTTTTTAATTAAAAGAAAAGAAAAAAAATGAATAAATGAACGGAATCGTTGACGTTGACAGTGTTATAATGAATGAAAGATTGGGAAATTCAAATTTTATTATTTTTGTGACGCGCATGTAAGTATTTACATTTATGAATATTATTTATGTATACCTTCCATCAAGTCGTTAATATTCTTGACTGTTTTGCCCATCGACGAAACGTTGCTTTTGAAATAAGCTATCCGAAAAAGACAGAAAGCTGCTTCTGCTCTGAGACCGGATGAATTGTTCGTATCTTCGAATATAGAAGTTGCAATACTGTTAGCATGATCGGTATCACCGATCTTACATGCGTATTCAAGCATATCTCTCCAATTTCCTTTAGTTTCTTCCTCGATATTCAAATTCGTATTGCCCGTTTCTAATTTTTCCCATGCGATTACATTAGCCTGATGCATTTCGTTGTATAAATTTGCATCCATTTCCCAATAGAAATCTTCACATACATCTTTATAATACGGTGCCATATTGTTACGCTTTATAATATCTAAAAAGGAATTTTTCAATTCATCGTCTCCCCAAAATTCGCTTAAACTCAATTTGAATCTCATTTTAGGTAGTAACATATATTCAGGCGTTTGATCACGTAGTAATTCCGCATCGTTCGCTGATTTTTCACTCTTAGTACCCATTATCGTAATAAATTCAATAATTTTCGATCATTCGTACGAATCACAAATGTTCGTGATATATATATATTTTAGATTCAAGTTCTCTTTTGACAGATCTTTTATGCTATCTCTTTTCAATTTTCTAAATTATCAAACGTTTCATTTTGTAACTTTGTAACAACTTTTGTTTGCTTTGTTGCGATTGGTTTGAATTCTTGAACCAATAGGAACGCTCTATTCGAAAAAATCAAGATGTTAATTACGCCATATTTAAGTGAAATACAAAGCGCGGGATCGTAGCTAACCTTAGATTTACTTTCTAATAACGAGCATTTGAGTGATATTATGGCTTCTGATAACAAAACATTTACGAATTTGCCATGGTAAGTTTGTCATTGTGAATATTTTTGATGAAACTTGTGCTTGGTAATACTTTCATGTTCTTCTTTTCAGGGTTGAAAAATATCGACCTAAAAAGTTGGAGGAACTCATCTCTCACGAAGAAATATTAAAAACAAGTAAATATTTTTGTAATAATTAGTATAATGATATATATACTAATCATTTTTCTTTTTATATTATTTTATATGATTCTTAGTTAATAAATTCATTGATGAGAATCAACTTCCTCATCTTCTACTTTATGGACCACCAGGCACAGGAAAAACCAGTACTATATTAGCTTGTGCAAGGAAACTTTACAAACCTGCGCAGTTTAATTCTATGGTATTGTTTCTTTTATATTAATATGTATTAACGATATTAACTTTATGTTTATTTTCTATAATATTATAGTATGTATGCATAGGTGTTAGAAATGAATGCATCTGATGATAGAGGAATAGGTATAGTCAGAGGACAAATATTAAATTTTGCGAGTACAGGTACTATGTACAGATCTGGATTTAAGTTGATTATTCTCGATGAAGCAGACGCTATGACAAATGATGCTCAAAATGCTCTTAGGAGAAGTAAGTTAATTTGTAATTAAATATAGTTATAGTAGATATAAAAAGCAAAAAAGTATAAAAAGCATTATAATTTCTTTTTAGTTATTGAGAAGTATACAGAGAATGTACGCTTTTGCATTATATGTAATTATCTTGGTAAAATTATACCAGCTCTTCAGTCAAGATGTACTAAATTTAGATTTGGTCCTTTGCAATCGGAACAAATTTTACCAAGACTAAATGATGTTATAGAGCAGGAAAAGTAATTTTTAATTTGAGTATTAAAATAATTATATTGCACTTAGGAATAGAAATTTATAAGTATATTTATGATTATCAGTTTAAAAGTAACAGATGATGGGAAACAAGCATTAATGACATTGTGCGGTGGAGATATGAGGAAAGTACTAAATATACTTCAGAGTACTTGGTTAGCTTTTGGATCAGTTACAGAGGAAACAGTATATTCTTGCGTTGGACACCCTTTACCAGTTGATATAAAAAATATTGCAAACTGGTTGTTAAATGAATCTTATGAATTATCCTATTGTAGTATCCTTTTGATTTTACTCAACAATTTTTATCATTGCTTTGTCAATTTTAATAGTTTCCTTAATGGATGATAAGAAATACAAGATCTAAAAATTAAGAAAGGACTCGCATTGCAAGACATACTGACTGAATTGCATCAATTTGTACATAAAAGTAAGTATATATTGTTAATACAATTAGAAAGATTATTTCTAATATGAAGATATTTTTAAGTTGAATTCCCAGATCACATACTCATAGATTTAGTGATAAAAATGGCTGAAATCGAAAAAAGGGTAGCAGTCGGATGTAGCGAGGCAGTACAATTAAATGCTCTCGTGGCGGCTTTTCACAAAGCACGAGAGATAGATTTTTGAAAAGTATAAATCTTACATATATACATATTTATTCAAAAGTTATCCAGTTGAGAACTATATTTATGTCATAAATTGTAAAAAAAAATAATTAATCTTAATTGAAAATAAAGTATTTATTATTTTTTTTTATCAAATTTGATATGTTCGTTTTGCAGATATTTACCGTCAGTAACCAACAATGTGTCAGGTCGCTTCTATTTATACAACACGATAGTATCTTATAATCTTTAATTACATTCTGTCGTGAATCTTATCTACGAGATGGATCTCCCCGAATTGGATGTCAAAATCTACAACGTAAAATCGGTAGAGTCATCGTGTCATTCTTTCCATAAATTTCCCTTAGCTTGTAAATTCATCTGTGCCTATCGCTTCTCGTATACCGGTAATCGCACGAAAAGTGTAGACCTCATTCTCCGGATGATAGTTCTTTTCAACAGTAAGTTTGTTGTGTATGTAAAACAATATATGTACATATAAACTGTATATAAATTGTCTTGAGAATACTTTACCGTCTTGACAAGTATTGTCCGATCTGCACGCGATTTGCTGATCGTTATTTGAAGATAATTGTTTATTAAAAAAAATCATGTTGAACACGAACTATCTCGTAACTGAAAAAACTTGTCATTGACGAGAAAGAAAGTCGAGAATTTATCGTGTAGCTCTTGCGTAAACTCTTTGCAAACTATGAAAAAAACGTCGATCCCTTTGAAAATTGTATTTTAATTTACTTCGGCATACATATTTATATATCTGTCGAGCGATCGATGAAACTAACGCTCCAGTTCTTAATGTCAAAAACAAAAGTCGACGTTATCGTAATGTTATACACGGTAACGTGGTATTCATCGTATTCATAAATTCGAGAAATATGGCTCTCTGTCTCTCTCTGTATCTCTCTATCTCCTGTCTCTATGTTTCTCTCTCTCTCTCTCTCTCTCTTTCTCTCTCTCTCTCTCTCTCTTTCTCTCTCTCTCTCCCTCTCTCTCTCTCTCTCTCTCTCTCTCTCTCTCTCTCTCTCTCTCTCTCTCTCTTTCAGATAGCGTTGCGAAACCATCAAAACTAGGTAGTATCACTGTAAACCTATATGCGAAGTCGGCAAGTGGAATGACCTAGCGTTGGTCCGACGAGCCATTAATTTCTACACTCTTCCTCTCCCGTCTCTTCCTGCCGCCCTTTCCCCCCACCACTTTCATCACGCGATGCAATACTCCCCGCAAACTCAGCGTACTACCATGATATCTCTCGAGCAGTACCGCCAAATTTTTAATGAAAGTGCTCCGACATAAGTTTATCGCTAATTTTCGCCCATTTCATTATGGACGTGCGTTATGCAAAGCGGTGGACGTAATCGTACGTGCTTTTGCACGTTGCTGTATCGTGAAAGAGGGTTGGAGGAATGGGATTCAAAAATTCAAAAAAAAAAAAAGGTTAAAGCAAATTTGACTCATATATAAAAGCTAACGAGTTAAAATACTGTGAACGAATCGAAAATAGAAAACAAACTTTTTGTAAATTGTACATTGTTACCAGTGAATATTCATGTATACATTGTTATATATTTGTTCTTCATCATTCATTATCGAAAGAGAGGGGGCAGAGAGAGAGAAAGATAGATAGAGAGAGAGAAAGAGAAAGATAGATAGATAGATAGAGAGAGAGAGAGAGAGAAAGATAGATAGAGAGAGAGAGAGAGAGAGAGAGAGAGAGAGAGAGTTCGTAATACATTTCTTACGAGTCGATTTACGAAAATTAAAAGTAAATAAAAATAAAAAAAAAATGAAAAAAAAGAAACAAATAAAAATATACAACTCCGACCGGCAGCGTATAAATAAAATTCATCCATGAATCCACGTTTCGTATTTTACAATTTTTTCTTGATCGAACGTCAGTTTTGCCCAGGCAGCGTTGGAAATGGATTGTTTCTTTTTTTTCTTTTTTAATTTTTTTGTTACTTTTATTGATTTTTTTTTTTTTTTGATTTTTTTCTTTTTAAATCAACATCACGTATTCGTCGAAATCGGTAATTAAATAACACTCAGGAACGATACCAAATCAAACTTTCGAGTTAATAAGAAGTTTTCGAAGGTGGTAGGTAGTACGTCGACGGCGGCGTCGGTGCCGACGTCGATTCTGCCAGCTATTTCAGCTTGAAAACTTCACGTAGACGTGCCCGCGTTAACTTTCCGCTTCGAAATAACTAATTCAATTAGTATATCAGTGCCGGTGTAAGGGTTAACTACATCCACGCGTTCGCGAAGTGTACGTAATCCTCGTTCTGTGACTTAACTTTGACATAGCTAATCCCTCTTAAACTTTGCTTCTCTGACCTGGACACGTTCAGTTTCTTATTCTCCGTGGATCTGTAAGAAAGAAAGAAAGAGAGAGAGAGAAAGAGAGAAAGAGAGAAAGACTTTTGCAACGGTGGAAGTCTGACAATGACTTTTGCACCTCTTCGACATTGCCGGTGTAAAGTGCGTTAAGCTTGCCTTTTCGACAACGTAGAGTGACTTTCTTATTAATAGGAGAGATCGAGAGAGAATGGGGGAGGGGAGAGAGAGAGAGAGAGAGAGAGAGGAAAAAATAGAAAAGGGAAAAGTTTAACTAGAAGTTCGATAGGTGGTTCGGACGAACATTCGCGGAAACACTTTAACGTGTTACGTGTATTAACTCATGATGGCTACGTGGTTTCGTATTAAAGTTTTCTTTTCATTGACAGAAAGGAATGGATAAGAGTCGTATTTAAAAATGATTACAATATTTATTCCAATTGATACGGCCGTATTTTATGGATTTTTTCTTTTTTTTAACTTTGCTTACGCCAATGAAAATTGAATGAAAATAAGTTATCTTCGCCGTTTCTTTTTTTCTCTATCCTTTTTTGTTTTCCTATTTTGTTTTTTTGTTTTTTTTTTTTCTTTTTTTTAATGTAAAAGTCAGACAATGCAATAAATTATAAGAATATAATGAACTTATTATGCAACCTTCCCGAGAGACATGAATCACGAATGTGAATCATGTTGTGCTCGTTCTGTATTTTATTTTTCTTTTTTCTTTTGCACTGTAGCGTGGAAAGCACATTTGTATGAAATTTTTAATTGAAGAAGGTGAAAACAACTGACGTATGATTCATTCATTCGTTCAATTTTAATATAAGAAACTTCGTGATATAAGAAGCTTCAACTTGTTTCACGCTTGCCACTTTGTTACAATCAAAAATCAAATCGGTTTAATCCCGTCACGATTCGAGCCGTAGAGGTATTGATGTTACAGGAAATCTTTACGAATAGCACATTCACTAAGCGAGTCGCAGTCGACTCCTTCCATGAAAGTATGGTTCACCCCACGTTGTCTCATGATGGAGCATTATTTTATATACTAATTTTTATTATTTATTGTCTTCTTGTCCTTTCTTTTTATTTTTTTTCTTTCTTTCCTTTTCCCTGTTAACAAATTTTCCATGCATCTCATTTTTATTCTCGTTGAATTTTGTAGTGAACGACACAGATCGTTCGAAAGAGGAAGAAGAGAAGAAAGAAAAAGAGAGAGAGAGAGAGAGAGAGAGAGAGAGAGAGAAAGAGAAAGAGGGAAAGAAAGAAAGACAGACAGAAAGAAAGAAAGAAAGACAGGGGTAAAACGTTTTGAACGATATTTCTTCGGCGAAGGCATCGTCCGTCACTCGTTGCTGTTTCCTCGAATGGGTAAGTCCTTCAAATATTCCGACGTTCTCTTAAACCGTTCCGTGATTCGCCCCACTTTGCTGTCCTACATTTTTCTCTTTCACGTAAATTCGTTTCGTCTCTACCCAAAGCTGCGTGCATCGTACTCCGAAAAGAGAGGAAAAAGGAAAGAGTAGGAACAAAAAAAATATTTCATTTGATTTAAACCTTTACAAATTGAATCCTTTTTCTTTGGATTTTTATCGACTTTTTCTCTTTTCGATCAAATTCGATGACAAGCCGAAAAACAAAGAAAGAAAAAAGAGAAAAGGAAAGAAATTTGACAAATTACAAATGGAAACAGGATGATTATATACTATAAATACATACATATATATATATATATATATATATATATATATATATAGATCTATATGTATATATAGATATGTACGAATGGATATAAATATTTATACAAATAGATATATTAAAAATATTATGAGAAAAATAATAAAACACGATTCACTTTCTGTCTCTCTCTCTTTCTCTATTTGAGTCTTTTTGTATCATGAGTACCTTTTCATTTAGTAATACGTGACTTGAGCTCTAAGTTTATATTTAACTTTGTATAACGAGCGCTTCCCATCCAACATTACCTCTTTAGGCATCTAACGAAGAAAATTATGTCTGAGCGTCTGGTGACGGAAAACGTTTGCGTTTGTCAAGGAAGAGAAAGAGAGAAGAGTCGTGTCATAAGTGTCGACTCTCTAAAACTGTCTTTGCATATTCGTGATATTAAATATAACGTACTTACTTTGTATTATGAATTTGACGATCATTCGGTACCTGTGTTAACTTTTATACGACTCTATCAAACTGTACATGTATATGTATATACGTATGTAAATGTAAAACTATGCTTGCACTTTCACATATCTACCTCGAGATTTTGTAATCGTCGTTATCATCTTATTGAATAAAATTCAGTTGACGATATTAACTGTAACGATGAAAATTGTTAACTTGTACGTATATATATATATAGGTATTTCTTTACAATGGACGTATCATATACGTCCTATTTCAATATCATCGTGATCTTGTTTTTCACACATACACACATACACACACACACAGATTTAAAAATTTTTTTAATTTTTATAGTATATCAAAATTTCGTATCGTCGAGTCAGTTCTATGATTCAATGGATCAATGGATTTTAAACGTGGCATGTATCGATTAAGGATTTTTCAAGTTTCTATAATAAAGAAGAAAAACAACAATGAATTAATCTTTTTGACACTTCATATTATTTTTCAAAAATTTTATTTATATACATGCATACTTACGGAAATAAATACATACGTATGGTATCTAAGTAGATTTGTTATGCACAATTTTAAACGATACACCTGGAGGCAGGTAATTTTGTTATTAATATCGCGTAAATATCGGAATACCAAAATATAATGTTCGAAGGATATCGTGGTAATATCCGATTAGTAGTAGCTCGATACGCTGCGGTCGAATGGCGCATATCCGAAACGCGTATCATCAGAATATTCCAATAGTAAATTATTCCTACACTGACAGCTCCACTACATGATCGCTTGCCACCGAATCGGCTCAATTGTCCTCTGTATAAATTGATCGTCCCTAGTTATGTATAAGCGTGATCGTTACAAAAACGAAAACAACAACAACGTTTCTATGATATTGATTATATTTCAACAAAATTTTTTAAATATCATCAATCGTTATTTAACGCTAGGTATATATATTTAGGGGAAAAGGAAGAAAATAAAACGGACAAACAAAAATACCTACGTATTATCGGTTACTTATGAAACTTTAAGAAGAGTTAGGAATAGAAAATGGGTGGATCGTAGACCAGGTATAAGCGGGAACTTCAAGTATCATGGATGAATTTCTCGTTTCGAATATTCTCTCGTATGTAGAGTCATACAAATGAATTCAGAGATATATATGTTCGTAACGGGTGAAGGGAGGATTCGAGAGTGTCATCGTCGGTCTCCGTTTGGAATTTATCGTTTCGCATTAATATGTAGACTTTGAGAGAGACGGAGGGAGAGAGAGAGAGAGAGGGGGAGAGAGAGAGAGGGAGAGGGGAGAGAGAGGGGGGAGAGAGAGAGAGGGGAGAGAGAGAGGGGAGAGAGAGAGGGGAGAGAGAGAGAGAGATAGGTAGATAGATAGAGAGAGATAGGTAGATAGGTAGAGAGAGAAGGAGAGGGAGAGAGAGAGAAAGAGAGATAGG